CTGACGTATAATATCGTTTTATAATAGTCGAATCTATTACACGAGATAATAGTCAACAACAATCACGACAAATATTTTATTAGTCATTTTTGTGATTAGTATACAACATCGAATGTATCTAGCAGCGTCATTAACATTTTAATCGTGCACAGTTTTTTTTATACATCTTCATTGGCTATTAGTTATAAATTGATAATAGCGAGATGGTTGTCGCATCTCACAACTGTGACGTAGGTAACGATGAAATTTAAATATCAACACTATCTGCTGCTGCTGAAACATCGATCCAGCTATCTCGTCGTGCATATCTAATAATCAGGTGTAACGAGCCAACAACAAGTGGATTATTTTTTGTCATTTACATGAATTCCTCTAGCGGCGTTCAAACCTCAAAATCGGCCCAACAACAATAATATACACCGTAATTTATGCGTGACCTACATTTTGTCTATTTTGAATATCTATTGAATTTTAAACGGTTCTCGGGCTGCTGTAAGGTAATTAATCGCATGACCTTGAATATGTCTTTTGCGGGGTGTTTTTGCGAGAAAAAAACGACAGTATGATGATTATGATCGCAAGGAAAACGATCTACCTGCGTGGAAACTGACTGTAATTGTAATATGGCGGGAACAACGATAATTATTAACCCGGTTCACCTGTTGTTAAACACGAACGATTATTGACACACGGTAATTGATTGCGGACCATTGTTTTGGCATGTCAATAGTTTCGTCGGTATTGGATCCAGTTCGCTTTCAGTTGGCCCCTCGAACGTGGGTGGCGGTTTTCTATCAATAAAAGTCAACACTATTGTTATTTTCGTATTGCACGTTGGACATATCCTATTTTGATACAACAATGTATAATAATAACCCGTCACGGATTTTCGTCGACGCAACGTTTTCTTAATTATTCGAGATTGGCGTTATTTGATTAACAGCCACTGGAAATTCGTGTACACTACCAACGTCATTGGAATAACGTCAATTCGGTTAAATAACAAATTACATATTTTATTGATAGAAAAAACCGTGTAGTATCTACTATCACTTCTCAGGCTTGAAATACCTCGTGACCAACCCAAGGAGGACTAGTTTTATTACTCCTTCTTTTTTTTTACTAGAACTCAAGTAATAATTACACTTATATATTGGCCAACGATAATTAGAATAATTGTGTTATTTTTTTTTGTTTTCGCAAATTCACCTAATCACAATCAATCGGATATTGGTCGATTTTATAGAAATATTTAAAATTAAAAAATCGTTACTATATTTGTGACAAAAACGAAAAGGGAATAACATTTTTTTAATAAACCAAGTGGTAAAGGAAAATCTTTTACAAACGATTTTTTTTATAGAATAGCTTTTTGTTTTAACTTTTGATATATCTTACTTTAGATGTAAAAAATAAAATATTATAATTATAGATAAATATAATAATTAATATTATTCATTGATCTACCGCGTATTTAATTGTATTAGTGTCTGATATATTTATATCATTTATTAACTAATATCGTATCTATTGAAAATGTACCTAAAATAAAAAATAAGTAGTTTCAAATAAAATTTATTTTCCTCGAAAAATGTATTGGCAAAAAATACGCATACATTTTCTTAAAGCATTAGAAACCGATACCAGATTCAGGGGAGGGGGGGCGGTTGGAACTTTTGGATTTAATTCAACGGCACGAACAACAATAAATTATCCACAATGTACTAGTTATTTTTATCATTGTTCTTTTTTTATCAACGCAGTCAGTTATTGATATTACTAGTAGATTAAAATTGATTTTTCGAAATACTCTCGTGCGCTCACCGCTAAAGTAGTCCTCGTGATAGTGTTAATTACAGAAAGAGTCACAGAAAGTATTAGGCAGTGAGTATCGATAGTACATGCGACAACAGTTGTTAGGTATACGGTTAATTGATGATTTCTCGGCGGCATCATTAAATATAAGATTATACGCTCTTATGGTACGATCACATATACAATGAAAATGGACCGATCGCATTAGCGTCTCCTCAGACTCTGGCGACGAAACAAGTTATTGACTGACCATTATTGTGTACGGCAATCAACCCGTACGAGGGCAAGTGTCAATTGTATTTAACCTCACCTATGAACTTCTCATTTCATTGCATTGTCAATTTAAAACGTCGCCACTTCGATATTGATATTCGAAAAACTTATTTAAAACAAATAAATTTTTGGTTGTTTCATAAAGTTAACACATTATGTTTTTTAGAATATTAAATGATGCAGTCGATAATATGACGATGTATCGTTAAATCAATAAAATTGCGTTGGAATCCACGCGTTCACCGAGGAATTAAATTGTTTTAAGCTTATGAGTCAATGGTCATTAGTTATCTAAAGTTACGATGACATAAATTACACTTGGTTGATATTTTTCCTGGTCTTCCAACTTTCCGATAAATAAACACAACGAATCTATCACTGAATGACTCATTTACTATGAACGTGGATATGTGCTGCATAACAATCTTTGGTCGCAACTCTCGGACCGCTGCAGTAGTGAGTAATCCTTCGAACATCCCATTCCGGACCGCTCCTTATCAGTACCACTAGCGAGACAACACTATTTACCACCGATTGTAAATAGATTGTTTAATATTACATACAGAAACAAGAAACTGGAAATTTCGATTTCCACCGTGTGTACATCAAAAGCGTATTATAAAAAAAATGTTTTTTCAAGGTTTCCAAAAAAACAACCCGACGACAAAACGCGGCCCATCGAACGGACGCTCTACACGATCCGTGTAAACATGTAATAGAAACCGACGATAATGGTGTATCCGGAGTGTTATCTCCGCAGTCTTCGTACAGGTCTAATACGTGTTTGTACACACAAAATGTACGCTTATTACTTACTGTGTTGCGTTGCTGCCGCGAATGAAGAACACGGGATGGAGTGTGTACTGCCGAGTAGCGGGTCCTCAACAAGACCTATAGCGATGCATTCCATATAAATACGATATTACTACGAGTTCTCCTTTACCGTATACACTCAGTGTGTCAACAGTACTACGCAACAAGACAAAGCCCGCCGGTTAATTGCTTACAGTTTACTTAATAATCAACTCTTTGTCCCTTTCCCTATTACACACGACATGTGCAGCTCGTTGAAGAGACGAGGACTTACAGTTTGTAGTGCTCGAGGAATTTCGAGTACCTAGTTAAAAAAAAACCTATCAGTAATCATGAACCGTCTAAGGAACTATTTCAAACGAGTTTGATTGTTGAGAAATTAAATTGCGATCGGCTGGACTCTGTTAGTCAATTGTTCCGTTCGAACGTACGAAAGACCAATTCTAACGACGTCGCGGACGGGCTAAAGTTATCGAGTCCAGCTGAACGCGCAATAGGCTAAACATATCATGTCTGAGCCGCATTAATGGAAATTTGTCATTTTAATGATTGTCTTTGTTACGAAACCTCCGTGCAATTACAATATTACAAAAAAATAGTAACAATTTCAACGATATAATTACATAATATCAAAAAAAGTAAAATAACTTTTAATAATGAAATAAATGTGTTTACGTTGTGCAATAAGCGGTGAAAGTAAATTAAACAATAGACAATGTAGAATTGAACACACAAAAAAGTTTGTCGGAAAGTCACCCGAATCAAATTGTTAAATTGTGAATGTGGTTGAAGGCAAGTCGTTTGTGCAATTGAGTCGGGTGTATTCTAGAGATGACACTTTTTATTCGGGCTCAACTATTCTATTATAGTCACGTTACTCTACGATGTTATTTAGTATTTAATAGTGAATTTAGTATTTAAATGAAAACAAATTACACTTCTTATATGAATAATTATTATTATGCGTCCAACTCAAATGATATATTCAGTAGAACTCATTTCCGACTTGTATAGTAACGATAAACATTACAATTGCAGTACGGCCAAAGAGTTACAAACAACCGACTGTAGATTAATCTGTTAAATCACATTGTACTTTGAAATCTCAGTGTAGGTTAATTAATCAACTCGTCATTCGCACACTTTTTTTTTATCTGCGGTACATTAACACGTTACGTGATTGTGTTTTCTGATATGGGCCGCGATAGGGCAAATAAATAAATAATAAAATGTTTTGAAACGCTTACGCGGGAAACGACAGTTAAGAAAAATACATGTATAACATTTCAATTACTCGACAACTGACAACACTTTACAAACATAATAATAACATAATATAGTCATTACGGTGCGTTTGAACAGTTTGTCGTAATGAATACGACCAATTAAACGGTACACTGATCACCGTACAATAATATTGAGTAAAAAATGCGTGCGAGAGTAGAGATGCTTACGGCCTGACTAAAATAAACTTGACGGTTTCAGAAACGTTTTGCAAAACTCATACGCGCTCGTTATCTTAATAGTAATTATTTATTTTCTGTTGTTCTGAAAGTCACTCGGTCCGACGGATAAAATTAATAATTATTTTTTGACCGTCTCAAACCGAGTACTTCAATTATACATAGTTAATGTTATTAAATGTGTATTAACCGTTAATCACAAATTAGATATATTTTAATATTATTACACGGTCTCTCGCCTGGCGCCGTATTAACTAGCCGGCGTTTTTCGTTTCCTCGTTTAAACTCCTTCACCTCCTACTCGAACTCATCCCGTTGTAATTACTATCCTGCCCTCTTGGTGTGTCCGCGTGTCCATACGCACTCGTACACCTATTTTTAATTATTACCGGTCAGCTCGTCTCAACTCTCACACACCCTCAACGGACGTAGCACATAAACGTGACCACAATACATCGGAAAAAAAAAAAATGTTATTAAATGTCCTACGAGAGCAGTGTAGTGGTTGTCGCTTGATAAAACATACGTCGGCCGCGTAGTCGAGTTCACCGACTGCTGCTGTCTAATCATCGAGTAATTAATTATTTTTCACGCGTTATCCAAAGGTCTTAAATAAAAATGGATTGCAATACTCACGTAAGCGGTTGAACGCGACTCATGCAGCAGGTGAGGATTCAGGTGCGTAGCGGCGGCGTCGTTGTCGTCGGCCACACACCATGTCTGCACGGGTAGACCTACCGTCGACCTTTGGCTATCTTCTCCTCGAGTCGTTTAGAACGTAAAAAACCGTACCGAGTAAGGTGTTCGACGGTCGGCGGCCGTTAGGGTACACTACGTGCTGCAACGACCCCAATGTTTCAGTTGGACTCTTCACCGTTTGGTCCGGTTGACCGTACGGTGCGGACGACGCGTCCGCCAGTCGCGGTACACGACAAACATTTCGAACCGAGAAATGTGTAAAACAATTTTTTTTTTTTTCTAAATGTGCGCAAGCAGTACAAACACAAATGTCACATGAAAAGTCGGACGGGTTTAAACGAGAAAAATCTTCATCCGAGTAATAAGAATACGCGCGCGTTGCGGTTGCTCCGGCGGAGGTTTGTTTGCTTGTGACTCGCACGGGAAGAGCCGCGCGAACGACGGCCAAACACAAACTGACGGGAACGGCCCAACCGTCGACGGTCTAGCGGCGGCGGTGTAGCCGGCACGACACGACGCGCACAAACGCACATACGCGCGCCCACCCAACACAAAGTGTGCACGTTATCCGGCGGCGGCGGTAGTAGTTTTTTTTATTTTTTTGCGGGCACCCCTAGCCCCGTGGTTTATGCTGTTGAGTAGCGTGGCGGTTTTAAAACGAAGAAAAATTACGGAAAGAAAATAACTGCGCACGGCACGTGTGCCTGTAAAATCCTCCCCTTTTTGTTTTTATTTTTTATTAAGACGGGCCAAGCTTTTTTACGGATCAAATGCGTCGTGATGGGAATTTCGATAAACTTCTATCGGAGGTTTTCGTATCGCACACGATTTTTTTTTTACGATCTTCAGATACTTTAAGGGGATGTTTTCTCAATTAACTCATGGATTATCGGCGATGAGCGTTTAGCTTTATTCGACATACCCTCTGACAAGCGCATATTTTCAATTGTTGTAGTTAACTCAATATGGTCGGAAGACAATCTTTAAGGCCATTTACATTTTTATCAATTAGTTGCTATTTTGAAGCATTTTTTAAAGCCCTTATAAAAACGTTTAAATACACTTCAAAATATGTATTATAATTCATATTATTTTCGTCGATTAAGCTCTTAAAATTATATCCATGGTCTGAGGTCATGGATATAAGGGGTTTTCCCATTAGTCCGAACCTGGACAGGATTTTAATCCAATGAATATGTAAAACTACTTTCAAATAAATAGACGGTCCACCCAAACAATAATTTATTATTAAGTTCGTAGTTTTATTTTCAAATTCACCAAATTTGCATTTTTTTTTTTTATTACCAAAATATAAATTACACATTTGTCGACTTCATAAAGTTTGTTTGTATACACGTGATCTTTCTATTTAGGTTATTCGAACTCTTTACTATGATAGTTTTTATTACATCTAAAGACGTCATATAATTCGGTACCGATCATTTGTAATATTCATTTTATTGTTTATGATAATGTTTTTAACTTAATGTATCAAAAAAATCGTATTATTTACCATTTAAAGAGATGCAATAGGACATACGCCTTGACAATATTGTACACTAATGATATTATTTTGACTGTCACATTTTGTTTGGTAGCGAAAGTTTCGGTCATTTTGGCGCCAGTGATTTGGAAACCGGCTACGGGTAACGAACAAGAATCACACCGCATATTTAAGTGCACACATTTGTATGATAATCAAAATTGGTGTGGGATATTGTCACGTTAACCACGAGGACAATACATAGATATCAAGTACTAAGCAACCATAGTGCGTATGCTACAATATATTAAGAACATTACATAAATCTCACTGACTAATAATTCATTACAGAAAACTCCGTGACTAATTGATGTGATTCTCTTTAACATTGGATAAAGAAGAACATGGTATTAATTATACCTGACGCGCTTGTCTTAAATAAATAATGCACAATTTAATGTCAAATTTTTTACTCCACATTTTATATCATAGCATATTTTAATATATAAAGTGAGTGGTATTTGTGCCATCTGGTAAAAAATCATTGCCATATAGTGGTTAATGATTATGCCTCGTTTACTAGTGAAAAGTTATTGAGTAGCGCCTTTAAGGTGAATCTTATGGTTATTGTTTTTAAATATTATTGAAACACTTTCAACTTCATGATTGAAAAACTAGCTTTATACAATTTTTAGAGATATTCATATCTAAATAAAAATAGTAAAAATAATAAACTGTCTAACGGCGGCTAAAGAGCTAATGAAACATTTGACTTACTTTCTGGACAGTCGTAAACTGATTTGGCTAGATCCTCAGTTATTGAGACTAGTTATGTATACAAATTATACATTATAGAATTTTTTGTTATAGAAATTTCCCAATTTGTATGTAGCCGTGTAAATTATTTTGGTTTTGGGGCAGTTAAAATCGACATAAAACTAGAAAATATCCTTATAATTGTCCCACTCGTGAACATTTCTTAAAAAATGCTTTGTTTTAGTGATAAAATATTTATAACAATCAATTTATTGTATGAAGAATACTATATTGTTGAATAAATATGAGCTCAGTACATTTAAGTAATTTAATAAAATGAATAAATTTGTAAAAATTTGAGTATATTAAACATGAAATTTACATATCAAGTTTTGGCTTTAAATTCTTCTTAAACAAGTAGATACAGTAATTGTATAATCATACAATTTACTAAACAAAAATCATTTCTTTATTTTTGAATTGTTCGAATTTTCTCAATTTTTCTCTCGTATAATTCATGTGGACTGGCACAAATTACTTGCACGAATTACATTTCATATTATTTTATGTTTTAGTTAAATCAAATTTTTTACATTATATTTTATTGAACATTTAATTTACGTTAATTGTAGTACACGAACTTTTATTTTAATTAATGTTTATTATATTTATTGGATCAATTATATTTTTCTGTTAAAATGTATGTTTATTATTATGTCCTTAATTTTATTAATATATAGTGTGATTTATTAAAAATATTAGGCCCCATTTTTGTATAATAATGATTTTTTTTATAGAAATGTATAAATTACAATTTTATTTTATTACATGAACCATAGTTAAATATCAAGTTGATTGTAAGACAATGTTATTTTTAAGAGTAGAATTTTTTGACTAACCCACGAAATTTAAATGAAAACCTATTATAATTTTTTTGTTTTATTACTGTTTGAGTTAATATAATGTTTAGTTTTGCGTAACGTAGAGAAATTTTTTAAACATTAACTGATCTTTACCTTTTTTAAATCTTTATATTACAATATCTCAAAATAATAATATAAAACTAATCAAAAGTTATTTAGTCCAATCTCTATTTAGTAATAAAAAAGTAGTTATAGGTTTCCAATTAAATTTCGAATGTTATTCCTAAAATGTACCCATAAAAATAAATTTCTTGTAATTAAATTTATATACTATGTATGGTTTATAAAAATCAAATTTTAATCTATATATTTTTATGAAAAATCAATATTTAACGAGCAATTGGAAAATAGTATTCTTAATAAACTACAGTACATGATATTCAAGGTTTTTAATACAATTTATAACTAAGTAACTAATTATTCAAGTCAATTTTAATAATTGGCCGACCCCAAGTATTTGGGATTAAGGCGAGGAAAAAAGAAAAAGAACTAAATTTTAATAATTATTTTATTTTGGTTCTACATGAAAACAACAAAATAATTCGTTTGAAATATAATGAAAATGTGCGCGTCATTCTTTTAATCTTCTTTACATCTATTATTGATTTAAATATATTTTTATACTAGTAAAGAGCTCTATGGTAAAGTTATATGTTAGCTAAGTAATAATTAATAGAGTTTGTTCATGTTACAAATAAAATTTGGTTCACAACAGTTATATATTGAAAATATTAATTATTGCTATTGGACATTTATTAATTCTAAAACAGCAGCTTAACAATAAAATGTGTATAACTAAGTTTATAAGTTATGTGTGTGCATTTGATGGCAATCTCTTCAACAGGGAGATTTCTTTGAGTAGGTTTGCATAATTATGAAGAAGCACGTTCCAGATCGAGGGACTGATAAAGAAAAATGCAAATAGTTTTAACATTGTTACAGCGTGGTTGCTTAGATAGTTTTTTAAAAGTACTTCGAATAAAATAGTCAGCTATTTACTTCAGCTAAGTACTTGAAACAAACGTCAAACGGCGTAGTTGGTCAAGGTGTCGTATTCTCAAGGGGCTTCGTACAAACACTCCCGAAGCCAGTGTAAATTTTTTATTTTCACTAATCTTCTGTGACAATAAGTGTAATATTATATTATAACTTATAATAATAGCATAAAATATAATATCATTTGTACAAGCATGTCACATAAATATACAAGATCACTAAAAAATCATTTCCTTATTTCAAATATAATATAACCAGCTAACTTTGAGATTAAATCTACTTATTATACATATTTTTAAGTAATACCAACGCCTCCATTATAATTCACCAATAAGAAATAAAAGATCTCAGTTTCCACAATCACACTAGGAACACAAAGGTTACCCCTTCAGACTATAAAGAGTAATTTTTTCTTGTTAAAAGAAGTTTTTTCGGTTGTTCGTTTGTTTTGATGAATATCTTATTTTAATTTTATTTGTTCGTTAAATAATAATGTTTTATTTCTCTTATTATGAAAATAAATGTTAATTAATAATTTAAACATAAAATTTTGTATTAAATTATTTTATTATGAGAGTAAACCCAACTCAACTTTAAGTATTCATTTAATGGTAAACATCCATTGCTAGCATTTTTTACTAGGTGACTAGCCTCGTTGCTAATGTCTATGTTCTATAGAACAATGTACCAGTAGACAAAGCTAAAGCATTTCAATTATAATTCGATTGGATTAAGTGTATTGCAATTCTATATCTATTGGGTAGCTAGTCTCGTTACTAACGTCTTTGATTTAACGAATATCATGTCTGTGGACAGCATTGAGAAACTTATGGAGAAATTTTTTAGTCTTAATTTTTGTCTTGGTAATTGAAAAATTATTCAACAAAGATAAAAATAAAGATATTATAAAAGTTATATTTCTAATAAAAGTATAGAGAATGCTAAAAATCTTTTACGCATAAAAATCATTCGTAAATTTATTGTTACGAAATCATATTGTTAAAAATTAAATCGTTTTTTTTAATAATTTTATTGGTTATACAGCTTGTAGTGTGAAACGTATACACAATGCATTTAATTCACGAAATTAACATTGGAATACTTAAAATATTACGTGACATGTGATATAAGGTAAATGCAAATTTAATTTAAACCACAAACAATCTTGTGCTAAATAAACTATAAGGATAAATCATAAAATTTTATAGGTATATTTCATGTCATTTATTCAATATAGTTTTACCTCCGAGATTGTATTAATTTACTATTTTAACCATTTACTGTTTTTCTTTTTGGGTTATCACAAAAGTAAGAAAATAAAATCAGCA